TTCTTTTGTTCCATGCAACTTGCTCCAGCAAGGGTCTCTCATCCAAATCATCCAAATCATCCATTTCTATCCATTTCTATCCCTTTCTTGTCATCCGTGACTGGGTGGTGACCGGGTGGCCATACGTGGCCATACGAGGTGCAGTACTTTGCGATGGCAAGGCATGCTGCATGGGCCTCGGTCGCAGACACGTGGAACCGCCACGAACCGCCGCGAACCGCCACCGTTCGAAGGTTTAAAGCGGGTTAAAGTTTTAATGTGCCGTCCCCGTGCTGTTTTGTTCGCGTATAATCAGCTTATCACTTTGTATTTTGGAATGCCACTGCCAGGAACAGAGATCAAACAAAGGAGAGTGGAGAAAGTCCTGCGAAACTGTCTTGGATTGCGCAAGAGTCCACTGCAAATCCAGGTATCTCCCGGAATCGCAGTTTCATTTCTTTCACTATCTTTCACTTAACCGACTTAATTTAAATCTATTTAAATCTGCCAAGATGCGCTGAGGTGGCCCTGGGCCATGGCTTTACCGCGCAAGGTTTCCTACACCCAAACGAGGCAATGATCACCACATTTGGCACTGGATACACTGGCACCAATGCGCAGAAAATCTGTATCACCTTTCGTAAACTGGCATGCTTTGAGCATGATGACAGCAGGGTTTGACCCAGTTCCCATGTTGACTGTTGGCCTCCATATATTGTTTATCAGTGTATCATAGTGTATCATATACCTCAATTCGATGGGTTGGTTCGAAAATCTGCCAGGTGCCGAAGTGGGGTGTCTATGATGGGTGTGGTGTACCATGCCAAGATGATGACGAGCGTTGGTGTGGCTGTTCAAATGAGGCCATGGTACATGGGATGTCCAGTTCCTTGAAGATTTGATGTATGCGCAACTTCCCTTCGCCTATGTCATTTTTCCAAGATCAAGAAGGACTGTGGAAGCACTGTAGAAATACTGTGGAAGCACTGTGGCCTTGGCTTTGCAGGCTGAGCGAGGATTTCCAAACCGAGCTTGTGCTGAAGGCGAAAAACGCTTTGCAGTGCCTCGGCTTTATCCAACTTTATCCGACTTTATCACGCTAGCTTCTGCTAGCTGAAGTCCCTCTTGTTTTAGCAAGGTATTAGGGGGCTGGAATCTCCAATCGCTTGAAACTTCATAGTTGACAACCCCCCCTTCCCCCCCGGCTGGCTGGTTCACAAGCAGCTTGGCCGTGGCTCAATCCCCCCGGGGACACTGTTGCAAAGCTTGCCAGTCTCAAGGGACAACTGTCAGCTTGAGGTCTACAAAATCGGTAACAAGTTGTTGCCACCTCAGCCATTATTGGAAGATGTAGGACCAGCAAATTTGAAAGGAACAAAATCGCACAAGTCAGTGGCACACACACGCACACACGCACACATTTTTTTGTGTGATGGTGACTTTTGATGCCGTCTGTTCGTAGCGATACCCCAGTGATTCGTAGCTCTGAGGAACACAAGTTCTGATGCCAGCACTGAAGCAAGTGCTGACACCGGTGACAGTGGTGATGCAAATGCCAAAGCAGCAGTCTCAGTGAAGGATTCAACAAGTTTTGCCAACGACTGACTGTAGATTGGCGATTGGTCTTTCGACAGTCACTAGCAATACTTCGAAGGATGAAGATCAGGAAACTTTGAAAATTGCGGAGGTCAATGCCTCACAGCCAGCAGCTGCAGGCCACATTCTGTGACATACTGGACCAGAAAGAGTAGAAACAGCTTGAAACAGAGTAGACATGCTGTGGATGCAAGTGCCAATTGCTGCGCTGAAAGTTGCCATATGGCAGGACCCTATTGGAAACTTTCCGGAGAAGGCGTTTTTACCGAGCGGAATATGTACAGTAGGATTCCGCTGTAACGACAATCCTATAGGATTCTAACCGAAGGAAGTTTAGAAGTTTAGAGGTCAAACTTCCGATTTTGGACAGATGCAACAATCATGGTGAGAAGAGTCAGAGAAGAGAAAGAGTCAGAAAAGAAAAAGGCAGAGAAGAGAAAGAGTCAGAGGAGAAAAAAAAGAGAAGAGACAGAGCCAGAAGAAAGAGCAAAGTCCAAGAAAAGGTAGAAAAGTCGCAAAACATTGCATTTTTCCAATGGTTCGTGGCTCCGGAGGGTCGACAAGTAGGCTTGCTAAAGTGGCGGGTGTGGAGCCATCTAGTGGGATGAAAGATCGAAAATTGCACCCCGTTGTGGCACGAAGGAGATTTGGAAGTCAAAACGCCAAAAACACCTCATGCCCGCAGCAATTTTGGCAGCTGAGTTCTTGAAAAAGCGCATATGGCTGTGGCGAGAAGCGGATGTGGAAGTCAAAATGTTAAAAGCACCTCATGGCCGGAGCACTGGTGGTAGTTGAGCCGTTCAAAAAGCGCACGCCGTTGTGGCGCGAAACACATTCGCAAGTCAAAAGTGTTTAAAAAGTAACGGTCTCGGACCATTTTTGGACGTTGAGATGTTGGAAAAGATCGGAAAAGCGCAGGGTGCGGAGCACATCCCGAAGTCAAAGCGGTACAACCACACCACGTTCGAACGACTTTTGGGTGTTCAAGCGTCGTTTTTATGAGAGGCATGGATTTTGCACCTTTACAAAATCGAGCTGAACGTGTGGGCTTTGTAGCAGTTTCAGAAACGATCGCAGGCGTGGGAGGTCTGAAGGGATCTGCAAACATGCATTTAGCGTGGAAGGCTCACATAATTGCCTCGTTTTTGAGATTGGCAATTTCGAATTGGAGGAAGTCTTGCAGAATTGCTGCGGCCTTTGATGTTGTCAACTTCCAGTTTTTAAGGAAGCCTTGCAGATTTTCTCCGTTTTCGATGTGGGCAACTCTCGGAAGTCTCGCATACTTGTTTTCTGTGAGATAGATAGATTGATAGATTGATAGACTGATAGATTGAAAGATTGAGAGATTGATAGATATGATAAATATGATAGATATGAAAAGACTTGATAGATAGACAGGTAGATAGACAGATAGTTCGATAGTTAGAAAGAAAGATGGATAGATATGATAGATGGGTGGGTAGATAGAAAGACAGAAAGATAGGGAATAGTTGGATAGATAGATAGATAGATAGATTGACTGATAGATATGAAAGATATGATAGATAGATAGATAGACTGATAGTTAGATACTTAGATAGTTAGAAAGAAAGATAGATATGATAGATGGGTAGATAGAAAGACAGATAGATAGAGAGATAGTTGGGTAGATAGATAGACAGACAGAAAGATAGATTGACTGATAGAAATGATAGATATGATAGATATGATAAAGATGATAGACAGATAGACAGATAGTTAGGTAGATGCACACAGAAAGGCGCATGGATACATAGATACATAGATAGGTGAAAATATGAGAGAGCTAGATAAATATATCAGATAGATGAGATAGATAGGTAGATGGATGGATAGATAAATAGATAGATAGATGGACAGATAGATAGATAGATAGATCGATAGATAGATTAGATATTTCAGACTAGATTAGATTAGATTAGCTGCGATAAGAAAAGATCAGCTGATGAGATTAGATTAGGTTAGATAGATAGGTAGATAGATAGATAGATTGATTGACGGATAGGTTGATGGATTGATAGATATGAAAGATATGATAGATAGACAGATAGATAGATAGATAGATAGATCGATAGATAGATTAGAGAGATCGATAGATAGATAGGTAGACAGACAGACAGACAGACAGACAGATAGATAGATGGATCCGTAGAAAGAAAGAAACAAAGATAGATAGGTAGACAGATAGGCTGAATGATAAAATATTTTGATAGACAGATAGATAGGAAGATCGACGAATAGATGGTTGGAATGGTTGGATGGATGGATGGACGGACGGACGGAGGGATGGATGGATGGATGGATGGACGGACGGACGGACGGAGGGATGGATGGATGGATGGATGGATGGATGTGTGGATGGATGGATGATTGGATGGATGAGACAGGTAGATAGACAGATAGACAGATAGATAGGCAGACAGGCAGATAGATAGAGAGAGAGAGAGAAGATCGAGACAGATAGTCAGAGGGATAGATGAACAGATAGACAGGCAAAATGGAAACATAGGGGAATAGATAGAGAGACGGGCAGAACACAGAGAGAGAGAGAGAGAGACTCAGAGCCTCAGCAACCTTTCGGTCCATCAGTGGGTTCGCTCTGCCAGCCAGGCGTCACAACAACCAAGCTCTCCTATAGGTTTCCCAACCTTGAAACTTCCGCCACCACCTTGTGCGGTACCATGTTAGGGGTTTCAATTGTACTTGACTCGTTTCATCATGTCTTATCTTGTTTCCTTGGGAAGTGCCAGGTGAACCCTCCATTGAGGTTGTCATCCCTAAGGCACGATCCTTGGGAATGTGACTGGGCTGTTGATTTGATCGCGTTGGTTTCAACTGTGTGCGTGACAGGGGACCAAGGCTACGGCGAGTGGCAACGAGGTGCCAAGGAATCATTGCAAATCGCTCGGATTTTTCAGAAACATGCAGAAGATAATGTGGGGCATTTATTTAATTGTGATGCTGTGAATTTTATTCTAACATATGAGTAGGATGGTTGGGTAGGGTCTTTATGTGATTTGAAAAGATTTGGTTGACTGCTGGATGACTTATGCCAATTTTGGCTCAAGTCATCCAGGCAGTCACCAGTTTTTGACATAACATCCTTGACACATAACATCTCAGGTGTGTTTGGAATATCTGTGATTTCCGACCAACCTGTTTTACCCATTGTTATTTAATAACAACGTACCATGTTAGCATCTACAGCGGCTGTAGCCTGAGTTACTACTACATAGAGTGCTCTTGGAAAAGAAAGCGAGTCCGACCATTCGAGTGTCCGGTCTGTCCTCCCAATCTTTTCAATTTGAAGTGTAGGAAAACAAAAATAGGACCTTCCCATCGCTTGGCTCAAGCTCAACCAAAAAGCAATCAATTCAGAGAGAACTCACCTGGGTAATTTTGCAGCT